GTTTTACCTTTGTGGTGACTCATGCCTTTTCACCGTCTGTCAGAATGTCATCCGCCCTTTTCCAGGATTGTCTGACTTAAAAGTTGCATTTCAATAATATGCATATAATGTTGAAAATCTTTTATTTTTTCTATATTGGTACATATAAATTTATTTGGATTATTTTTATAGTAAAGATTTACAAATTTGATGTCCATAGAAAATGTGGATGAATTTTGAAACATGAGTAAAAGTGGTCTTTTTTTGTGTGTGACTTTACGACAAAGATATTTCAGTAACCTAGTAGTTCATTTCCTGGAATAACCCTGAAGAATCCAGCGTCATCTTTTGCATTTCCATGACGTTCAAAAAACTTTCGTCCTTGTCCTAGGTTGAAAGTGAACATTCTGCAAATGTTGTCTCAACCTCGTTGGTTCAAATAATAGATTGCAGCTTTTCTTCCCTATTGATGAAGATGAACGTGAATCCACATTGAATAAATGTATCCGTTTTTTGACATTCGTAATGGACTCCAATATCTGTGAATGAAAAATGAAAGGGTGAAAGATATCTACAACGAATATTTCCACAAATAAAAAGTGAATTAATTGCTTAATTTTTATTTTAAACGTGGCATCCAATAAAAAGTGATGTTTTGTAGATTATGTACAGTCTGTGGGAATATAGTTTGTAGGAGGATCAATATTCCAACAATTTGAGTATGGTCCCAATCTCGCCCTCTCAATAAAACCCTGAAATCCGCCTAGTTGAAAATCTCTGGCCCATAAACTCGATTCCAAAGTGTGACGATATCATACGTTCCATACATACAATGCTTCTATTCACCATCAGTTATGCACAGTGCAATAAATACCTTCTTCACCTGCCGAATGTGACATCTAAAGTCTACGCGTAAATATTGAAGGGTAAAATTGTTCATCGACACGGCCTTATCTTAATGTAAAAAGGCGGGACTGCGTTCTTACGCTTTCGATGGTCATAACAGGACTCAGACCCAGCGCGAGTCACTCAAGAAACTCATACTATATGTAGTATTGGTAAGCTGACAACGAAAAAAAATGGAACAAGAAAGTGCAAGCCTTTTTCTGAAATTTACGTGTCTGTCATAAAACATTATAACTTTTCTGAATTCTT